TGTAAATTGTGAAATTACTAAAATTGAGACAGTGACTGCTTGTTATCTGAGACACATTAGCTGATTATGTATGTGCTACCAAACTACTACTAGCATATGAGTTTAAATCTGATGGGTGAACTTCTTAAGTTTAGTTTGCAATGGGCTAAGATTATGCATGTGACTAGTATGTTTTATCTATTAAAACATACATTAAAATGAGGTAATAATTTCTTATTAACTGTCCCTATGCGAAGATGCCCTTGTGGCATAGGGAAAAGTAGGATATTATAGGAAAGAAAACTGCCATTCTTTCTTGCCATTTTTCTTTCTTTTTTAATTTTTTTTTCTGCTCTATGGTCCAAAACCATTCAGTCTTCCCAGACTTTTATTTGATAACTGTACAGTTACTGTCATATTTAACATTATTGCTATTTTTTACAAATTAGTTATTGAAATATGCCAGGAAGTAACTTAATAGTTGGATCATGTCCTTGATCTGCCCTTCCCAAATAATATGCCTTTGCACTAAAGAAGCTTTTGAGTAATTACTCCTTGTTGTTATGTCATGTGGTCCTCCTGTTCGCCTCTTATTTTCTTTACACCAAAAAGCATTTAAGTAGCTGAGGAAGAGATGTGAATCAATAGAAAACACTGAAACAAATTTCATACCTCCAGCAACATATCTATAAGCCTGGGAGAGGTGAATAAACAGATTGTAATGTTGAGAGAAGAAAGAAGAGAACACTGAATAGTTTCTCACTTGTTATTTGTGAAAAGGGGGACCTTACTGCAGTACAACTTGCCTCTGTAGTACGCTGCAGTGAAGACAGATTTTGTGGTTGTCTTACTGGTGCAATTCTTTTGCTGTATGTTTGCAGTGTATATATTTTTTTGTGTTCACCTTTCATTTAGGTTGTGGTTAGTGCTGCTGTTTAGAGGAATAAATGCAGCAAATAAGCCCCTAATGGCAAAGAATAGGTAACTTGGCCTGAAGATTTTGTTTATGGAAGAAGTTGGGTGAATTATCTCTTGCTCCCTGTCTTTTGATATTTAAGAACATTCTTCCAGGCACAACCCTCTGCTGTGGGTTGTTGTTGGCTTTGTGTGTGTGTCTGTCAATGGGTTTATCAAGAACTAGTTGATATTTTCTGCTGACACTGAAAGCAGAGTGAGAAAGACCACTCTGTCTTTCTTACTTATAATTTTCTTTCTTTTCAAGGTGTTTTTTTTTTTAACAGGTGCTAGCCTATATTTTAAGGGAATGTTCTCTGCAGCACAGATTTGAACGATTCATAGTTCCTTATGCTGCTCCACTCATCCATCTTTGAATGAAATCAGACACTGATTTATGTGTGGCATGCTGTTTTGGTTATAACAGTAGCTTCTGTCATGTGATTTGAGAAGACCCACACTCTGCGCATCCATTAAGATGACAATCTCCAGGATTCTCATAAATACCTCATTGCTGAGGTTACTTTTCTGCTTCATTTCATAACAGAAAAATAAATGGTTCTCATGATGAAAAGACTGGGGGCAAATCTGTAAAACAGCAATAATGCTAAGTAAAGTATAAACCTTCTAGATAGAGCTCATGGGTTCTGCTTGCCATGCTGCTCAAGAGTTAATGCAAACAGATAGTGTTACTGCCTGTGTAGATGTGGCATAAATGTAATGCGTACTGTCTCACAGGAGCAATTTATGAAGCTAAAGTTTGGGTAATTTCTTCTTTTGTCTGTCCTCTGTTGATCAAGATAACATATTTGATTTTTACTACAGCGCCCTGATGTTTTGGTTAAGATATTCCCACTCATTGCATTCTATGCATTAAATAATTTCTGCAATATGTAGCTCTCACCAGCATCTTTAGATATGTGAATCTCTCTCAGGACTTTCACAGTGGTGAAGTAGAGCTCTCTTTGGCACAGAGAGCAGTGTCATAAAAATCCTCTTAGTAAACTTATAGCCATGACAATGGTTAGAATTTACCTTAATACTGCTGTACAGACTCTGCTTGAAGTATGTAAGGAAAACGTTTGGTTCTCTGAATATGGTGCAAGTTGAACAGAGCTAATAAAAAAAAAAAATCATTACAAATTAGCACAGTATTCTGGGGCTCAAAGTATTTTAATAGTCGTAACAAAAATCAGTTATTAGTAGCCTCACAATAACGAATAATCCTGCTTTTCACAGCTGATCCTTGTAACAAAAAATGGTTGCAGCTGAGATTGGATCTTTTCTTCAATGGTTATTTCAAAGGAAAAGTGGTCCTCAGCCCATAGCCCTGTTGTAGCTCTTCACTGACTACCACCTTGTGTAGGTTTCTTTCATTACACACTTCCCCTCTCAGCTATTGCATGCATAAGGATTGAAATGGGTGTACCCAGCAAGCTGGTACAGATGGATATGTTCTTGGCTGTTGCACAGAATTAATTAGTGTTTCCTATTCTATATATGCTGTTACATTGTACATGCCCCGGTAGCTGCATGTGTCGAACAATGTATCTGTCATATGTTTGTTTTCTGCCTTAGCCCTTCCCCTGGAGGGAGGGAGTTGTGCAGTGTGCTGTCCCACTTTGCGAGTGTGGCAAATAAATGGACTTCGAGAGGACCTCCTGGCTTGTCAAGTCTTGTCTCTCTCTGTCAGATGACTATGTTACATAATGCCCCTGTGAGCTGAGCAAGCTCCAGCCAGACATCAGATCTCTTTTTTTCTGTGCTGCTATTGGAAAGCTGTTCTACTACTTTCATAAAAGGGTTAGAAAGCTTTCATTTTCAGCTTCACATTGTTTCTGCCAATTGTTTCTGCCTTGTTTTTTTTTTTTTTATCTCATGTTGATCTTGATCTTAGCTTTTTTCCTTCTAGGCTCTTTATCACACAGAATCTATGGGCAACAATTTTATTTTCTCATCATATATTTTATGTTGTACTGTTAGTATAGGTGTGACTATGTTTGAGATAACTTCTTCCATCAAAATTAAAGCTGAGAAAAATCATTCCAGGTGAATTTAATTTTTTATTTCTTGAACTCATGAGCTTGACTTACAGTGGAGTTAGTGCTGTACTGATATATGAGAAAATCCCATCCTACCTTAGTATTTTGGTAGGAGCCTTACTACGTTTTTTTTTTCTAATACGTATTCCCTAAGCATCTAACAAGATGCTGTTTAGTTCTCCCGGCTCATGTTAGGTAAGACTTTAAGAATAATATTACTGGTTTCAGATAAGTCTGTCTTGAACAAAATTCCATGTAAAATTGTGAAATATATCCTAATTTCCTTCCAAAGTGTAAGATGCTTGGTAAGGGCAAGTCAGCAAATGAGGCTGTCTTGCCTAAATTTGGGACCTAAGGCAAGTCATAAAAGCAGTACGGCTCAAACTGTCCAGCTTCAGGTCCTGGGGTAAATCGCTTGGTGACTGCAGGTTATGGCCTATAAATATGTGGAAATGTCTCCATCTGCGTCCTTCTCAGCATATGAGAAGCCCTACACGAGGCCACATAATTTACCCAAGTACAGGGTCATGAATGGGACTGCAGCTCTGAGCCCACAGTGGGGGCTGGTGGATGATGTGTTCACACTAGGCACAGCTCTTCCTCTCTTTTCCCCTCCATGAAGCCATGCAGGTCTATGGCATTGCTCCCAGTCTTTGCATTATGTCTGACTCAGACAAAAAAGCAGACTGACCTGCTTGCTGTATCTGGTGTTGAGTCACAGACTGAAAAGAGACTGTTTTGCTATGCTGTAAGTTTGTGAGAATCTAGGGCAGTTCAGTGCAAAAGGCTGAGGAACTTGAGTTTTGTGTTTGACATTATATGTGGCAGGTTTGGCTACATTCTAGTATGACTATGGCTGTCATAGTTTGATCTGTGGCGGACAACGCACATACCTGGAAAACTGCACTTATTCCTACTGGATTTACACCGAATGCCCGAGTTGTCTGTTGCTGAATTTTCTCTCTGGTGGCTGAAGCTTTTGAGGAATTGGATTTTTTTTTTTTTTTTTGAGAAATTTAGAGTGTTTCAGAAGTCTTCCTTTTTGCAATCTGCTATTTCAAGATGTCTCTGCAGAGGGGGAAGACGGACCTCTTCAGTAACCCCTTGCTTGCAAAGGTTTGAGTCTGAAAGTGATCAGCATATCTGATGTTATTCCCCCAATAAATTAGGCAAACATTACAGGTGTGGATAGCATAAAATTAATGCTTCTCTTTTTGAACCATTTCTTGTTGCTTTTAATAGATGCTTACTTGTAATCAATCTGCTCCTCTTGCCTGATTGATATTCATCATCAATCCTGTGCTCATGGCAGGCATAAAATATTAAAAAGAACCCTGGAGACTTTACCTGTCTCCGTAGCTGAAGTCAGTTTGAGATTTTTGTAAAGCTGTTGATTTAGCTTCCTGAATATAAGCAGAGAAGAATTTGAGAATCAGCTTTGGTGTTGTTTGAGACATGAAGTTCAAATATTTATTTGGAAGAGGTATTTCTGAAGTTCTTGCAGATAGAGTCTTTTATTCCAAGAGAACCATGAAGCCTGAATTCTTAACTGTCATGAATGCTGGTCAGTCAAATTAGTGTAAGTAGCTTTCAAAATGGTACCAGATCAGTGTATGTTAAATTTACATCTGTTTTTGCTTCATTTTTATGAGCAGAGGCTGCATGTGGTACAGGACAGCTTGGAATGAAAGCCTCTTCTTCTCTTTACTGTAACTGCTTTCCTGTACTAGCTCAACTATGATTTTGGCATAGGAATGTTAGTAAGACTTAATTCTCACTGTCTGAGCTGTCCTTGTCCCCTTTTCTACCTATCCATCCCTTGCTTGCTTTTAATACTCATTGGTAAATCAATGTAACTTGCAGTCTCCAGGTCTACTGAGACCTCCTGGTACATGGGTATCTTGTTGCTCCACTGAACTCAGTATGTTCATTTTGGTGGGTCTCCTTTGCTCTTCCTTCTGTGAATGCCCCCCTTAACTGGATAAATGCATGATATAATACAAGTTTGTTTATTTTTTTAAACAGGAAATTATGGGGAAAGTGGAATGGAAGCCTTCAAAGAGCTGGCTGCCCAAGAGGGTCTCTGCATTGCTCACTCTGACAAGATCTACAGCAATGCTGGGGAAAAGAGCTTTGATCGCCTGCTCCGCAAACTGCGTGAAAGGTTACCCAAGGCTAGAGTGGTGGTTTGCTTCTGCGAGGGAATGACAGTGAGGGGGATCCTCATTGCCATGAGGCGCCTTGGAGTGCTTGGGGAGTTCCTGCTGATTGGAAGGTAAGGCTCTGAGTATGACTTCTCTGCCTGTCCTCTTCCTCTTGTCTTGCAGGTAGTCCTTTAATTTCAGAACCATGCCACTCAAGCTGCCTGTAATTTCCATGTTCACTTGCCTAACGTATGAAAAGAAGTGGAAAGGTGGTACAGCAGATCTTGAGAAAGAGATGTGAAGATGTGTGCCAACTTAATCAGTGGTGGTGACTTTTGCTGAAGTAAATGTTAATTCCTAACACTTTAATATGAATGTATGGCATTAGGGTTTTTTTGGCACAATCTAGGGAAATGTTTCATACGCAGATTTTTAGAACCAAAGTAGGGATTGAAGAATTCTGGTTTCAGAATGTGATCTGGAAGTGTGATGTGTGAGACAATTTCATGTGTTTCACTAATAGTGACTCCTGGTTATTTGAAACCCCAAATTATTGAATGGTTTGGTTTACTTGAACTTGTGATTGCAACTTGGCATTTTCATTTGTACAATTTGTTCAGATCTTTGCTGTTGAAAGCCAAAGCACTGATGTTACGCAGACTTGTTTGTTTTTTAAAACATCAGGCTTGCTGATGGCCAAGTCAGTATGTTTGTGTGTTTTTTTTATTACCAGGGTAACAGTGCAGATGTGTATTTAACAGGCAAAGGCTGTCTTTATGAGAATGGCTGCTTTTTAGTTCTGGAGTTTATTTTTGTAGATATTCACTGAAATATGGTCATTTTAATTCTATCGCATACAGTATATCCACATTTCCATTTTTGTGATGGTTCATATTTTGTGGCTTTTTTGACTTTCACCTTAATTTTTGCAATGTCTTTGTCTGTATTTTTGATGAATGTTGTTCAAATGACATTTTGTCTTCTCTGCTAGATTGATATATATATTTTTTTAATCCTTCTATTTACTCTTTCTTAGTTATTTCTTAAACACCATTCCTTCAAAGCCACTGACTGTTGTCTCCATGCCTACTTAGCTTCTGCTGCCTTTTAATTCTGTTGCCATTCTAATCTATCGGACTTCTTTTTGTCCTTTTTTTTTTTCCTAAAGTCTTTGTGTCTGACATTGTCATCACTTGGATGCTCTCCTTTTGCTCTGTGCTATAATATTGGTCTTTCCCTGATTGTATTGCTCCTCAAACTCCACAATTATGTTTTTTAGCAGTTGAATATCTAATCTGGCCTAAGTAATTATTTGAAAGCAATCAATGGCTCTCCTTTCATCGTTTTTGTTCCAGTTTTGGATTGCAATCTATTTGGAACAGAAGCTATATCTCTAGAAGGCTGTGCAGATAAGATGTAGCACATATGGAAAACCATCAGCCTTAAAATAAAAACAGTAAGGCAGTATTGAGACTAGTATTATGTTCTAGACTTGTGCATGTGCATCTGCATCATTCAATACACATAGTTTGAAATGAATAATGGAATGTTTCAGGACTGACATGTACTAAGCATGATTTTTCAGTGAACAGAAGAAATGAGCTATAACAAAATTGGTCTGGGTAAAAGCATCCATGGTCTTTTTGTAAATGCCTTGTAGCTTTCACCAATGATGTGCCGCCTTCTTGTATTATCGCTCTGTAGTGGTGTTTATTGTTCACCTGACTTTTTGGTGCTCCCTCTTGTCGCTGTCCATACATAGAGCCAAAGGAAAGCCATCTCTTACATTAAGCACAAAACCTAGGTACATTGGTGGTACAAAACTTAGTTTCCTATTAGGCCATTTACTTGATCTCATACTCCATGGTATGTGGAACATTTCAGCTTGAAAGTTTGAATACAACCCTTTATCAAGCATTATGCTACTCTATTTAGTTCAGTTGTTTGATAAGCCTCTCAGAATCTGTCCAACAGCATTGCTCTGAACTTTTTATCAGAAATTATCACCTATTAGATGCTAATAATGGGATTTCTGTAGAAATCACAGTGCATTTTTGAGATAGGTTTTCACACACCTTTGTTTTGTGCTGGCAATTGACTATGGAAGACTCCTTTTAGGGCTGGGTGGGATATTCTGATTGTAAAACAGGCTGTCTATTGCTTTGTATTGTGTGGACTGTGCCCGGCAGCTGGTTGAAATAGAAAGTATTGTAGGGCTTTCATATGTTTTCTATATGCTTGCAGAACTAGAAGAAAAGACATTTTCTTTGAATTACCCTATTTTTTTAAAAGTGGCAAATCTAGCCAACTTATTCATAAGTAAGTTGCAGTGAAACTGTGGTGCTATGAATTTGGTCATTGGTATACAACAGGAATCAAGGCATGCATTAACACTGCTCTGACATGCTGTTTAGTCTTTTCTTATACAAGTACCTAGCTAAGCAAAAAACCAAAGCCTTTTAAAATCCTTCTTTTAATGGAGGGAAGTGGGAGTGAATGTGAAATCAAGATTTTTTTTTTTGTAATAATGAGCTAAACAAAACCTTTAATTTACTGACAGGTTTGTTATCAGCCACACTGTATCAATGCCATACTCTGCTGTGACTCGCTGTGAAGAGGAAGCCTTTACAAAGGGACACCTGGCTGAATAGCTCTTTTCCTACTCTATCTTCAATATTGCTATTGATCAAAGCAGACAGGAAAAGTTTAGCTTAACTAAATTCAAGGTATCGGAAAGAGAGCTGAGAAATTTGAGTTCCATTTAACCTGGGAATGATGCACTGGGAATTACAGGGGATTACATTGAGCCAGAACTGGGTCATCAGACACTGGAGACTTTCTGGGGTTGTCTGACTCTTTTCAGGCATAGAGTTAGGACCCTATTTGTGCTGCAAGTATTCCCAAATTTGTATTGGAGGTCTAACTAGAAATTCAGTTTCCTTGCTACTGAAAGTTGGAGTCTATTATATTAGTGAAAAGAAAAGGGATTTCTGAACCTGGAGGAAAGCTGGGATTAAGACAGGACAGGTTCCAATCCCATCTAAGGGAGAATGGCAGACATTTAGAAATCCATAGTTTCCAATTGTAGTAGTGAATTCATTGAGAAAACTTATTAATCTACGAAAGGATGATAAAGCTTTAAAAACTGGCTGATAATCAAAGGGAAAGAACGCAAGAATTAACCATGGCTTTGTATTAAAACAGTGATTGGAACAGTATTGGAGTAACCAAAGACAAAAAATTATGCTAATAAACTGTACTCTTAAGGGAAATGAAGGGATAGCTCTTTTAGCAGAAATTAGTTTTGATGTGAAAAGATTAGGAAGAAAGATGCTCAACATCATGTGTCTAATCATGTTTATGCAGGCCACTGGGTTTTATATTACTTAATAAGCATCAATTAAGTTTTGTCAGAATCTTGCAAGATGGATGAATCTTGTCTCTATCCCTGGGGATGATACGTCAGGACAAGGCATGTAACTGACTTTCCCGCATATCTGTGGGTAAAAGAAATCAAATGAAATAAGCAAATTAAACCCCCAGTTTAGTCTGAGATCATTGGAGAGGAGACACGTAAGATGGCTGGAAATAAAAATGGTCTTCTGTAATTTGACAGTTTCTCAAACTCTTACATACAGTGGTTTGTATGAGAAACTTTAGAAAGAAAAGGTATATTGGTGCATGTGCTGTTTTTCAATAAAACACTAGGTAATGGAGTATGTGTTTTACTTACTAAAGAGTATTTATAGTTTTACTTCCATGGGCTTTCCAATATTTAATGGTCTCCATTAACATTGTTCTAGGGGCTGTTGTAGAACTGTGAATTTTAAGTGTTGGTAGGGTCACCTCTCCTGAAAGTTTGGACTCTTGGCAGTGAAGATACAATTGGGTTCTTTGCTGTGAACCCAGTGCAAAGGGTCAGTTTTTTTCCCTATACCTAATAAAATCCTTTTCGCATTGGGTGTCAGAGCTTTCAGGATGCATAGCGTAATGGAATTTTTCCTAACTGCCTTCCCTTCACAAGTCAATATTAATAACGGTGGTTTTGGCATTTACCTTCACCTTTTCTAAAATATTGACAAGGCATTGTCAGTGTAAGGTGTTCAGTCTTGTCTGACATTGTTGGAGGTGTGGAACCTGATTTCACTCAGGTGTAAGATTAAACAGCTTGTTGGCGAGTTGAGAGAGAAACATGCCCTGATGTGGTCAATCCCTGGGTGGCAGGGTGTGAGGGAGGATTTGGGCAGGTTCCAAGGGCAGTTATCACCTCCTAAAACCTGTGATTCTCTGCCCCGAACAGGCATGTAGTACCATTAAGTTTGTGCACTACTTGACAGAAAAGTTGCCTACCTGAATAAGACCCACCAGTTACTAGCACTGTGACTACTGGGCACTTGTTCAGTTTTTTTAATGCAGAGGAAGGAGGGCCTCTACACCTGAGGCCAGGGACCCAAATCATTATCTACAGTAATGACTCTAGTAATCAAAAAAAACCAACGTGGAAGCAGAAATTGACAGGTCCATGGCTTCGATTAGTGAGGGAGGATAAAGAGTCTGATCAGGAAGCTGTTCCTTCAGCAAGGAAACAGAAGGGGGTGACAGAAGTCACTCTAGGCAGAAATCATCAGGTCCTTGAGTGAACTTTGAGATATCTGGAAAGATTATATCTGCCAGCCAGGTGAATGGATAGCTGCCTGGTTCATCAGATTCTGGGGTGCTGAGGCTGACAAGTCAGGAACTGGAAGGTAAGAAAGCCCAGAAACTGTGACACCTAGTGGGGACCAGGGAACAGACAAAGAAATTGGAAGAAGTGCAACAACCCAAAACCTCTGTAGGTGGCTTCTGTTGAGTGTGAGGGCAAGCTGTCTCCTCAGGGATAATCTTATAAATTTCTGAGAGAAGTAGACCACTGTGGAGAAAGATGTCAGTTTAATTTGTCTTTGTTTCTCACTATCTAAATCTATTTTAATTGGTAATAAATTGAATTAGTTTGCCCCAAGTTGAGCCTCTTCTGGCTGTGATGGTAACCGTTAAGCAGTCTGTCCTGGGTTCAGCAGTAGCAGTCATTTTTCTCCTTCTTGGTAGCTGGTGTAGCGCAGTGTTTTGACTTTCAGCTCGGGAACAGAGCTGA